AGTAAGTAGAGAGAGAGAGAGAGAGAGAGAGAGAGAGCGAGCGCGCAGGGATGAAAAGAAATGGGTTGAGAGAGGAAGGAATACTGCATTCTACAGTCCAGCCAATTCATTTGGTTTTATTCAGTAGCATTAGGGTTAAAGTTTTTTAAATTGTAAATCTAAATTTCTGTTAAAGATTAGAGAACATAATTATATTTACTCCTAAGGTTTAACAACACCACATCCTCCTTATAACATGGTCCCCCTTTGAGCCAAGCAGTGAGTTTCATGATGATTGTAATAGAAAGCCTACTTAGGGCTTGTCTATACTTACCACGCTGGTTCGGCGGCAGGCAATCGAATTTCTGGGTTCGATTTATCGCGTCTTGTCTGGACGCGATAAATCGAACTCAGAAGTGCTCCCCGTCGACTCCGGTAATCCTGCTCGCCGCGAGGAGTACGCGGAGTCGATGGGGGAGCCTGCTTGCCGGGTCTGGACGGCGGTAAGTTCGAACTAAGGTACGTCGACTTCAGCTATGTTATTCACGTAGCTGAAGTTGCGTACCTTAGTTCGATTTGGGGGTTTAGTGTAGACCAAGCCTTAGTAACTGATGCCAAAAACAGCTTACTAGAATGGACAGCCACAGTTACTAAACATTTTATTAGGACACATTTTGTCAGTGCCACTGTATATTATGTATCAGAGGGGTAGCCGTGTTAGTCTGGATCTGTAAAAGCAGCAGAGGGTCCTGTGGCACCTTATAGACTAACAGACGTATAGGACCAGGAGCTTCTTGGGTGAATACCCACTTCTTCGGATGCATCCGAAGGCTCATGCTCCTATACGCCTGTTAGTCTATAAGTCTTCGCTGCTTTTACTATATATTATATATGACTAGCTAACTTATATGAAAGGATTTGCATATCAGTTTGTTATAAGGGTCAATACATGGATAGTATTATATCAACTCTTCATTTGACTGGGAGAAAACAAATATTAACTTATAATGAAATAGATAAGACAAATAGAATAACTTATAATGAACGTGATGTGTACCTCTATTTGTCAAATTAAGCTAGTAAGGCAAGGAATTGGACAAAACCCTGGAGCAATTCAACAGGTTCAAAAGAAAGATTAAGATTTCTTAAAAGGGTTAGTCTGCAAGATTCTGGTAATGTCACTCAGGTTAATGTGCTTTCAAAACAGCCCCTGACCTTAATTCTGCCCTGTATAAGGCATGCCGGGCACGCAGACCTTAGCTGTGTTGGGCTTCACGTTTGACACCTGAGACAGTAAGGCAACAGGAGAAACACAAGGAGCATCAAACACAAAGAGGGTGACAGAAGCGTAACAAGCACGCATCAGGGCATGGCAGAGTTTGCAAAGATTGGGAATTAAAGACTGCATGCGAGGGTGTTCTGTGACCCACTTTGTCTTGTCGTTTAAAAACCACATTCTGAACTCTCACTTTGACTCTTCTTTTGTATTGCCATCGTGGCTATATTTAAAATTGGAGAGCTGCTCGTAAACTAAGTAAATAAAAAGATCAACCTAAAAAACACTGTATTTGGTGTCCTTTACTGTACTGACCTGAACTGGTTAATAAAATATTATTTGGCAGATATACAAGTCTAATTATTCAGAAATACAGTCATTCATTTGCTCCAACTGTATTGTCAAAGAGCAATCTTTTTATAAGCAATTAGATTACCATATGGTTTTTGAACATGCTTTTAAAACTTTAAGATATAATTAAGCATGAAGAATTTTGCCTGGCATCTAGGAGGGCGATTTTTGCACAAAGCAATAAACACATGGAATATTGAGGAAAGTACAAAGAACAATGTCTCTGAACTTTAAAAAAAAAGCACAATGATTTGTAACAAATTACGAAAGTGTGTTCAGTGAAATTTGGTTTATAAAGGCCTAGAAGATAATTAATTCTGTGTTTCATTTTTTTTTCTTCTCTGAGGCAGTTAAAACTAGCTTATATTTGCAGTTGTTAATTCACAATGGTGAGGTGTATCTTTAGGAATATTTAGAAAATACACCAATGCTATTTATAAGGAGAAAGCAGCTACTACAGTTTGTATATGCAATAGCTACACTATTGTTAAAGCATTTTTTTGGTATGCAGAATTACTCTATATGCATGGATCTGGGATATCACAGCACACTGACAAAATACACAAGAACAGCTTCCCTTGCTCCATACAGTGTGTTAATGCCTTTATTAGTGTTTCCTTTTCTGGGACCCCTCCAAGACATTTTTTGACCTAAAGGATTCTCACTATCCCCTGTCCCTTTACTATTCACCATCTCAAACTTGCATTATGATTCTCCTTCTGCTCAATGGCCAGACTCCCTCTGAGGCTCCACAGTGTTTTGTCTGACAAAGGTAACCAAGCAATGAAAGGCCTTCTCCCAGCAGAGGACTGATGACCAAGCACAAGTCCCATAATGATCCGACTCTGGGCTACAACTCGACTGTCAAGCCAAGCCTCCATTCTGAAACTTTTCATCTTGCTTGGTTTCCTTTAAAAGCTGCAAACATATTGTGTGGACACTATGATAAACACTCTGGCACTGCTGGAGTCTAGCCAGTCAATGATCTGCTTTTACCAGGAATGTTTCAATGTGATTCTAACTGCCTCATCACAACACCAACATTTCAGTGACAATATTCTTCCTCCCCCCTCCTTCCCCCCAATATATCTTAATTCTTATTATCTCCTTAATTCTTGGAGCTCTGGTATTACTGAGGTCAGAGACCCAGGCAGGACCAAAATTAGGTACTATAGGCAGTAGTGAATGTTGCATTTAAGGTTATAACTCAATCCTTCAGTTGTAACCCCTTACACTTAACTTTTTCAAAAATGTACTTTTGAGATAAAACATCACATACTTTGCATAAGTGCAAAGGTCAACTCTGGAAATTTTTAGGGCAATCCATTCACCTGTGTTGGGCAAGTGTGGGAGAAATACAATTTTTCTTGTTTGAAAAAAAGTTGTTCCACTTTTTGTTGCAGACAAGTAGCTTCAATTGCTGAATTATAAAACTTTAGTCTTTGTACATGGATAGCCCTCAATAAGGAACAGTCTAAAAAAATGTGTTTTAAAAATTGCTTTAATCAGATATAGTATAAATTCTCTTAGGTTTTGGGCACTATGGAGTTGTAAAAATACAGCATCACGAGTCCACTGTGCTCCAAGAAAATTAAATGTAAAAAACTTTAGTGCAGTAGGAAGGTTTTTCAGGTTTAAAAAAAAAATCAGGAAATGAAAAGTTACAGTTCTCACAGCAACATTATCTCGCTCACATTGCTGTACCTATTCAAATTTTCAAGGGCAAATGCACTTTTGCACATGCCCAACACCTGATTAGATTATGCATGTCAGGATCACAAGCATGGATTGGTACGTGGCACACAAATGATCAGCTCTTGTGCACTTTTAAAAGTTGGTCCACAGTATGCAGAATTTGTTACTACTAGACTCAGTACTGAGTGATCAGATTTATACAAAAAATAACCCTCCCCATCAAAGACTCTAGATGCTCCGATAAATTATGAAAACGTAAAAGGTACGTGCAGGGTAGATGAGTTACCATTGCTTAGAGAACTATAACTTGTATGTTGCTTAACTTCTGCATATTTGAATTTGCATCAACTTATTTTCTTCATGTAGTTATATATTCCACAACCTCACATCACCACTGGAGGACAAAGTGAGATCTGTATGCTTTTTCTTTAATACATGTTCCAATTTTAAAAATGTTGTCTTTTGTCAAATGAATTCAGTATCTGTAACAGATGCAAGATTGACAGCACGGAAGGAAGTAGTCCGAAGCATCTCTCACATTGTCCTGCCAATATACTTCAACTCTGACCTGACACTGTTAATTCAGATTCTGTGCCTGTTCAGCGCCTGGGCATCGATGCCAAGACTGCCAACAAAGTCATTCATAGTTGCAATTTTTGTGGTGTGTTATGTTGTTCACGAGAAATTGCATTAATGACTTATTTCACAATGGAGGTGTATATTACTAACCCAGAGCAGACCTGAGCTGAAATCCTTTATACCCAATTACTAACAACACGAGGCATCTGCTCTCCTCTCACTACCCAATTACTACTTCTGTTTCATATTTTGTCTACAGCATATTAAAACTTACTACTTCAATTTTCATGGAACCCAAATAAAAGCACCTAGGGAAATACCACTGGAGCAGATTTCAAAACAGGCTCATGTGTCTGTCTGCTCCTAGCACCATCTCTTGGTTGTTCTCAGCCTCACAATGGAAGGACATGACTCGTCTCTTAAGTAAAGAGATCTTCCTGAAAGCATTTCATTCAACTTTTTGGCAGTTAATATTTTTGCTTGGCCTTTTTTTAAACACTATTCAGTAGAATTTTTAAGCCATGGCTGTTAGGATGACCAGCTGTCCCAATTTTATAGGGACAGTCCCGATATTTGGGGCTTTTTCTTACATAGGCGCCTATTACCGCCCACCTCCTGTGCTGATTTTTCACACTTGCTATCTGGTCACCCTAACAATGTCTTACACCTAATAATTGAAAATGGCTACAAAACCCCTCACGTATAAAACCTGACAGGACGCTCAAGAGGTGACTCATTACCCCGGAGAAAGCTACATCTGAAAAAAATTATAATGCAGTATGTTGAAAAGGTGGAGTAAAAAGAGAAGAGAATCCCAGTAAAGATACAGATGAGAAGAGATGTCACGTCTTTCGTACATTTTGTGGGGGTGTTGATTCTCATGCTAAAGTCTTCTTGTTACCTTGCTGGACTCTTCCAGCTGAGTGCCTCGCTTCCAGGCCTCAGAGAAGATAGAGCTGACAATACTTTGGGAACGGACATGGCCAGTTGGTTGGGTGTCAGAAACTCCACTGTCAGATTGATTAGAGTGATTTGACTGAGACTCTGTTTAAAAAATATGAAACACAGGAAAAAGTTCATTTTTATCAAAGTCAGTGAATGAGTTTGTAGTGTGACACTTTCATGAGTGACACTTGCTAGGCACAGAGGTGACAGGCTAATTTCATGCCTGCTAAAACACATTATCTCACCAAAGGACATTATTTCCAATAAAACACTTAGCTCATGGTCAGACACACTGGAAAATTGCTGGTCTGAAACACCCCCTCTCTCACACACATCCAAAAAAACCAAACAAACCCCGACAATCACACCTGCAACCTTGTGAAGATAGCAGCTTATCAGTTGTGTTATGTGAAGACTATCCTGTTCCCAGGCCTTGCAGAAGCTTCTGCTCACGTTGCCTAGCCCAAGGATGCCATGAAGTCACAAGAGTTGTAACTTAGTCCTGGTGACTCACCAGATAGCTTTGCAATGCCCTGTCCATGCAAACGTAACCGTTCTACAAATAAATTGTTTTCAGTAGAACTATGCTTGACTACCCATTGCAGGCTCAAACCCAATTCCATACCGTTGTAAATTAGCTGTAAACAATGAGATAGAGGTGCAAATTGTTAACTAATTTTTGAACAGCTATTTGTCTTAAAAATGAGCTTGTCACAGGACTGGGATCAATGTTTTAAAAAGTTTGTGTGTGAACAGGTTTGTGGCGTTTCTGCCTTTGGGTAGAGACTATTTTTCATGTATTTATCCCACCAAAGCAGTTTAAAAACTATACACATCGTCACTCATCATGAAACACAAGCCTGGGATGTAATTTTTAAATTGGCGAGGACAGGTATGAGGCATTTGAAAGGATATTTCCTTTTCTCAGTTTCAGATCAATTCTCTTTTTGGCTGTGAATGAGAAAAGGACATTCTATTAATATCAGTCACAGCTAGTAAAGAATAGAATAGAATGAATTGCTTTTTGAGATTAAAGACAGCCTAGAAGTACTGGAAATAACTAGTCAAATTCACTAGTCTTTTCTGGAGTTTTCAGATGGTTTCCGAAGCAAACGGTATTTAACAGTATTTCCATTATGGGTCAGGCTATTAGAGTTACCTGGTAAACTGGAAGAGCTGGATCCTGACTTGATACTGGAGCTTGACAAGGAAGTCCAGTCATATGCTGACTCTGTCCTCTTCAGGGCTTCCTGGTAGTTCACATACAGTTGCTTCCCATACTAAACAAAGAGAGGAACAATAAAATTAACAACTGTTTAGACTGTGCCTGTTTCAGCTGGTTGATTTATGTCCCAAGCTTCTTTTGCCCACTGTTTCTTTCAGACATGATGAGCAGCAGTCTCTCCGCAGAGGCACTTAGGCAGTCTGATTATTTTTCAGTAGAGGTTGTGTTTTTCATTTAGTTTAAGAACAGTCACATTGTCTTTTTTCTCTTTTATTATCTAATTGCTTAGAGAACTAGAAACAACCTGGTTACCCTGGAGAAGAAAATGTCAAACTATCTGATAACATGCCAGTGCAATAAAATGATCTACTTAATCCATTGAGCCAAGGTGCTGGTTCTAAGGGCACATCTACACTACCCGCCGGATCGGCAGGTAGCAATCTATCTATTGTGTAGACACGATAAATCAATCTCCGATCGCTCTCCCATTGACTGCTGAACTCCAGCAATGCAAGAGGTGGAAGCAAAATCGACGGGGGAGCCGCGGCCGTCGATCCAGCGCTGCGAGGATGCAGAGTAAGTAATTTTAATTCGATCTAGGATACGTCGACTTCAGCTACGCTATTCTCATAGCTGAAGTTGCGTATCTGAGATCGATCTCCCCCCACCCCAGTGTAGACCAGGCCTAAGTAATCATTACCTCAACTACTAAGTCTCTATTTTTGATATAGCCACCTTTCTCAGATCCATTTATGAGTTAGCCCAAAATGAGTCAGCACAGCTAAAAACTAACCGTGATGTCCCATGTCTAGTGGGACTTTACTGTGAGATCAGAGAGCAGGAAGAGAGAGATTAAGGGGCAGAAAAATTTGTATAAGCACCTAAAGCAGGAATTCTGGTAAAGAAACATTTATACTGTTGATAGACTTCAAAAAGAAATATGTACGAAAACTATCGTGGAGCTTCAAGTTCAGAATGGCTAGATATAGGGAAGTTTATAAACAGATAACATACATTGTCTCGATAATTGTTTCAAACAAGTAATATCTGACCCATAGCTGATTAACTTCTTGATTAGTTAATTTTAGGTCAGTCTTCTCGCTCTCCCCTCACTGACACATCATCTGTCTCAGTAAGTTACTACATAGGTAACACTATTAAATAGCACTACATTGCAAGAATGGAAGAGGAATAAAATGATTCAGAGTAGTTACCTTAGCAATACGGATGCCATTTATCCACTGGTGTAGAGTTCTCACATCATCACAGCAGAGATATTTGATATACTGAGACTTCTTCTGAATCTGAGGGTGCTATAGAAAGAATATTTAGTCTATCAATATTTTAATCTAAAGAACATTAAGAAGAAGAATTAAAGAGTTAAAAAATGCTATTCTTGAAGAGTGGGCTTCAAAACACTTATTCAATCCCTGGCATTTCTACTTTCAAATCCAGTGGAAAATTAAAGCAGGAAATGCAAGAAAAACATCCAGCTGTCAAGGTTCAGATCAGGACTTCCTAACTGTTGAAACTGTGAAATCATTAAAGATGGGATATATGCAGTTGGTAGGGTGGGTGTTGCAGAAAAAAAAAATTACTTGCCACCCAAAGTGGCAACATGGGGACTGTCTGGCCAGCACCCATTTCAGGTTTGCAATACCATAAAGGGGCTGTTCTTACAGAGTTTTGGTGTAGGAGCTAGTCTGTCCCCTTGGAATCGTTGGAGGTGGTCATGCACTGAGTTGAAATGGTCAGAAAATTTCCACTTTCTAGAAGCTGCAGGAGGGGGAAGATGGTTCTCTCTGATGCGGTGGAAAAGAAAGGGTTAATCCATTTGATCTTTACCAACACATGCATCGTTGAAGGAGATGGGAAGAAGAAAGCTAATAATCCACCTTTCTATACTGCCAAAACCAGGCTTTGAAAAAACAAACCCGCACTAGCTTTTTCCACCTCTAACTGTCTTGAGAGTGGAAGAACAGGGTTTGGTCACTGGTTGGCACGATTACTTTTATTAACAGTTTAGCACAGTTACTTTTATTAATATTTTAAATACAAAAGCCTGTAAGATGAAAACTAGCTAATATTTCTGCTTCAGACAAATTACTTGCCATTCCCTCCTCCCCCCACAGAAAAGAAACACAACTCTGCACAGTTTATTTAGAAAAATATTCTATTTCAAATTCAGTCTGTGACACAGATTCAAATAAGAGCAGTATATTTGTTTTTTCAAATTCTGATGATGGAAGTCACTTTGGCTGGAATACTTGGTCATTTCCCGTTCAGTTTGTAAGAGTTATGCGTCTCACAGCTGCCAGTATCTCTATTAATCCCTTCAACAGCTTACAGTTCAGTTATACAAAGGTTTGCTGGATGATTCAAAATATCCCCATTTTCTTTAAGGTTATCTCTTACATACGTCCAAGATCTTATAACTCCTTTTGAGAACACTTGCTCACACTATAAATTCCAATGAACACTGTTGTTTGTGTCTCATTTTGAGTATTTGTGACATGTGAGACTGAGATATATATCACTTCAGGTGCAGAACATACAATTGGTCTCATTCTACTGTTGAATCATTAAGCACTCCAGCTTTTACTAATCTTACTATCAATTCCTTTAGCCTATGTGTAGTACAGAAAAAAAAAACCCCACCCCTGTACAGCTCTGCTCAGAATGGAGGCATAGAAAAGTTGAATGACTTGCCCAAGATTATGTAGAAACTTAGAAGAAGACACAAAAATAGAGCCCTGAGTGCTGATTCCAGTTCTCTGTCCCAACAGCTGATCTAAAAAAATTTCTGAACTTTGTCTCAAATTGTACTGTAGCTAAAAAGAAGTTCTCCCTAAAATCTAAACTTCAGGATCAAAGCG